TTCTGTAAAAGATATACAGCCTTGCAAACCCTCTGTGGTCATTCTATTCTGTCCTATAGGGTTGCTATGAGTTGCAACTGACTTGATGGCAATGGGTTTTGGTTTCGTACCCAAATTCATAAAGGTTATTAGTCTATAGTTTTCTTATAATGCATCTATCTGCTTTTGGTGTAGGGTAATGCGGGCCTCATAGAATGAGTTTGCAGTACAGAATTTTTTAACTTTATCCATATCCAGCACTACCTCACAGATCTAAAATTCATTTGATAAATACGTAAACTCCTTTCTTTGGAGTAGGTGGTGGTCAGTTGTCATCAAGTTGATTCTGCCTCACAGTGACCCATGTGTGCAGAGCATAACTGCTGCACAGGGTTTGCAAGGCTGGGACCTTTTAGAGGCAGTTGCCACACCTGCCTCTGGGTGAGTTTGATCCCAAGTCCTCAAGCATTTACTGTGTCACCCAGGGACTCCCTTGGAGCTGTATGCCCTTGGAGTAGGTAGAGGTCCTGAACTGAAAGTTGAAAGACCTATTTGTGTAATAAGAAGATTTCATCTCCCCCTTTAGAATATTCCAAGTTACTTCACTTTGTCAGCCCCTTCTCCCAATAGTACCATGAAACAGAAAACCTACAACAGGTTTTTATTGTTATACAGACTTCCTCGTTGAACAGATAACCACAGAACTCTAATCTCCACTGAGAAAGAAAGAAAAAAAGAAAGAGCTTTCCAGAGGCGTATAGCAATTCAGGGCAGGGGACATGTCATTTTCCTTAACTGGCCACTGCTGAGCTCTGTGGCCGTCCTCCATTGTATAGACACCTACGGTGACCAGCTGTGCCTTTTGCAGAGTAATTTCCTACTGACAGCTGGGACGCAAAGCAGGCGTTAGTAACAGCCCCACGCCGACTAACAGAGCCTGCGTCGAGCTCTGCATTTTCTCTGACTCACTATTTGGGTCATGTAACAGTAAAAGTAGCCCCAAGAAGAGTGCAGTTTCTCAGGTTGCCAGTGAAACCCCAAACAACCATGTCTCCCAGCAGGCCCAGAGCATTCCGGCACATAACCGCATTTTAATTTCCTAAAACCACAGGCTACAAGTCTCATTTCAAACACTGTCTGGACTGTGATACCCAATACTGATAAACGTGTCCACTATTCTCCTGAGAGTTGCAAAGCTTCTGCAAAAAGAGAGGGCTCCTCATTTTCTCAAAGCACCATTCTCAAAGAAATGTCGTGACTTGTCAATGAATCCTAAACAATGAATAGGAAGAGCCACTTGTGGATGTGAATGTCCTTGTGGCTCCTTGTGAATGTCACTTGCTAGACTACAGGAAAGACACTTGCTGTGTGTTAATCACTCATCAGGGTATAGGCATACCTGACAAATACAGTCAAAAGAAGACATCAAATCTTAGCTTCATTGTTTACCTTCATCATCAAATGTTCATTAGTGCTTATTTTGGGAAATAATCTAAAAACTGATTAACTGGAGTGAGTATTTACTTGGCTGCCCACTCAGTGCATGGAATTTATTCAGTCACCTTCTCAACTTTCTAGAACAGAGAGAGCTGTGGGCTCTTTAATCTCCAAGCACCACAAGAAAAAAGCAACCTTTAAAACTGATCAAGAAGGAGAAAAGGAAGGTGAAGCCATTCCCTGAGTTCAGGAGACTGAAACGAACGTAAGGTGGTAAAAGTATTCCACTGGAAGAGACTTTTACATAAACTTCTATATGAACATGAAACAACTCAGGAAGAGCTTCACCAGAAGCGACAGCTCTGCTCTGCTCTGACTTTGAGAAAACTAAAAGGAGACTTTATTATTTTTTTGGGGGGGAGGGGGGGACAAAGGAAACAGGTACGTATATGCTTCTTTCTTATACTATTGTGTTTGGCTTTGAGCCCAACTTTAAAACTGACAGACAAACTTAATAAGTTTGTTTTTAAAAAACGTTTGTTCAATAAGGTGTAAATTTGCTTAGAATGAAGTGATCAGATTTGGATTAATAGTTTAAGGTCTGGGAATACAAAGTTCTTGAAACCTGAACTTCTAGAAATGTATGGCCTGAGAGCTAGCTGGGTCCCTGCAGCCCATCTCTGTCAGATTCTAAGGTGCCTTTATGTATAAGAAGTATTCAACCTATTTCCTAATAGTTTCTCAAGGAGAAAACAAAATGTAAAATTACGTGAACTGATTTTTTGTAAGAAAAAATTAGATTTGTGAAAATGTGTACATTTTAGAACTGAAGAAATGACTGCATTTGTTTTATTATCCCTTTGTCTTCCTGTCGGAGTCCGTGAACTAGTCTCCTTCTTTTAATATTTTCTAGTTACTCCCCCTTTCTCTCTCTTCTCCATTTCTCTTGCTTTTGTCTTCTTGTCCCCCAAACTAAGGCCACAGGTGGTAGCAGCAAGCTGTTTGCACAGTGAGGAACAGGTACTGAGCATCCCAATGGCGGGTTCTGTAAGGACTCAAGGTTTAATTAAGCACAGGTTGGAATGTCAAGGAACGCCAGCCTGGGGAAGACACACATGCCAACACAACATAGTAAAACCAGCGTGTGAAGCAGAAACTTGTCAGAGAAGGAAACCTCTAATATTTCCCACTAAAATGAGCGACAGAAAAGTGCTAAGGGTGCACCCTGTTAAAGGCAGAAAACTTGTAAGAGCCAGAAAAACAAGGCCATCCCAGCACCTGCCAGGTTTCGCAGGACAAGCAACCATAAGAGCATCAGAATCCACCTGTTTAACAAAGCCTGTGACTCCACTGAGGAGTTGGAGGGCTGCACGGAGGGTGCCGGGCAGTGGAGCACGTGGTCTCGCTTCTCCAGCCATGGTCTTTGTGACTCCCACCAGATGACGAGGTGGAACTCTGCAAACGGAAGGTGCTGTGGCCCACCAAGGACACTGGCTAGCTTGCTAATAATGTAAATAAAGTACATGGTACCCTTGTGGGAGTGGGACCATGGAAATAAGGTGTATGCCATCCTAACATGGGAATTGGTCTGTTTCGCCATCTTGCTAGGCATAAAATGAGTCATCTTAGGGGCAGAAAAGGGGATCTTACTGCCATCAAGAAAGAACTAGGAGAACAGCATGTCATTGGGCCTGAGACCCCTGCTCCGGACTTCCTTGGCAGAGAGACAGCAGAGACATGGCTGCAGAGGCAGCAGAACTAAGAGACCAGCATGACACAGAGTGGTGCGCTTGCCGACCCATAGAGCGAGAAAGCTGAGTGCCTTTGGGCATGAAGCTTGCTGGTGGAGAGTGTGCACCTATCCGCAGAGCTAAAGAGTTTTGTAACACTTGTCTGAGCAGGGCAGAGGTCAGGCCGAGGGGCTGAGGGCCAAAAAGAGACGTGTCTGAGTGCATAGCTGACAGGAGGCTGTGCCAATCAAAGAATTATACCTGAAGGTTCCTGAACCGGAATTTTAACCCATTACTCCCCTAATAAGTCTCATAATTGTGAGTATTGCCTGTGAGTTCCGTGTGGCCATTGCAATGAATTACTGAACCAAGACAGAAGTAGGGAGTACCGTGGGAGGGACAGCTGGTGTCAGAATTGGTAAAATGGTTGGAGGTGGTGGCCTGTCTGACCTCCATCTCATAGGACGGAGCTTTGGGCTGCTGACAATGATCTTGATTCTGTCTTCCGCTGGTGACATCAGAGGAGGCTGGGCACCACTGCCACACCCCTTTTGCAGAGACGATGATGACAACGACGCACTGCCGTCGAGTCGGATCTGACTCATAATGACCACTCCTTGGGTTTCCGAGGCAGTATCACTACAAAAATAGACTGTCTAACCTTCCTTCTGAGGAGTGGCTGGTGGGTTTGCACCACCGGCCTTCTGGTTAGCAGTCAGATGCCTTAGGCACTACGCCAGAGGGGGCCTACTTTAAACTGTGACCGGTGCTAGACTATAAGAAGGTGAATGGAAGTGACCCCTCTTCCAGAGTGAGGAATGAGAACAAATCAAGGCAGGTGCTGGGGAAAGCCTGTGGCCCAGACGGATACAGTGCACTCCTTTGGCAGCAAACATGATACCTCAACAAGGGAGGGTAGTCTACACACATCTGTCTTAACTCATTACAGTTCAATGAGGTAGGTCCACTCTCTTCTTAATTTTAAAGGGGAGGCATCTGAGCCCAGGGATATTAAGAAGTTGCACAGGGGACACACTTTATCATCTGATGATGGAGCCAGGATGCAAATCTAAGAAGCCTGACCCCAGGGCTGCACTCTCAGTGACTGTATCAACTATCAGTGCACAGATGTCCCAAAGGGGAGAGTGGGAGACAAAGCTGAACACCAACACTGGGGCTATATTGGTCAAGGGGCAGCCGAGGGGCAGAAAGAGAAGCATCAGAGATGCAAGAAGAAGGTCAAGAAAGTGCTGTCCCAGGACCCATGACGGCCTGCTGCCCTTCCAAGGTCCCTTCCAGCACTTTCTCAGCTCACTGGTCAATCCATTGTCTTCTCCACATGGGCTTATCAAGCTAGCGCACAACTGCTATGATCGTGGGAAAGAAACGGAAAATGTCAGTCCTCAAAGCCTGTAAAAGTTCTTATCTGATAGAAGCTGGGTCAGTAAGAAGCACAAACACATGAGTTTTCTTACTTTCTTTGCAAGAGTGCAAGTGTGTATCTGTGTGTGTAGAGGGGTGCTTCCCTCCTCACGCACACATACACACTCGACAAACCATAAAAACCAACCTGAACCCTAACAAGAACTACCAAAAAAAAACCAAACTCACTGCCATCGAGTCAGATCTGACTCATAGCGACCCCTCCTTGGGTTTTCGAGGTGGTATCTCTACGAAAGTAGACTGCCCAACCTTCCTTCCAAGGAGTGGCTGGTGGGTTTGAATGGCCAGCCTTCTGGTTAGCAGTCAAATGCTTCAGGCACTACGCCACCAGAGCTCCCAACAAGCCACAGTCACACACATGGATTCTAAAACAAAGCCAACAACTTCTGCCGAGCTCTGCTCCAAGCATACCTGCTTCTGGGTCCTGGTTGAAACGGCAATACTTGGAGTTTTCAAGCGAGGGCAGGCATTGCTCAATGGGGACCCAAACATACGTCTCAGGACACAACAAATCCGAAGGTCTGTACTGACCCTGCAGAGAAGTGAAGAAAAAGGGGCAAGCGTTACCAACACAAGGACCACTGAGTTCAAGGCTCCAGAGTCCCCAGAAGAGTCTTTATCACAAGGTTAATCGAAGTTGATCGCACATGGCTTTACTGTAAATACTAAGTGACCCTCTCTGCTAGGAACACACAAATGTAACACACAATTCTTGATGAGCCAACTGTTAACAACACTCAGTTTCAAAGTCAAGATGTCTTTCAAATACAAAAGATGTCTTTTAGTAACAAAAGTAAATTTATTTTCACATATTAGAACATGATATAAGGAAAGCATACTTTCCAAAGTTGAATTTCACTGCCCATAATCATAATTTTTAAATTTAGAGATGCAGTTCGTAATATTCACTCTATTCTAACATATTCACAAATTCTGTGTTCTCAATATACTTCCATAGTGATCTAAACTGATAAATGTAGAATAAAAAATAACAAAAATTTCAGGGAAACGTTTGTGACAATAATTCCCTAAAGCTTCAAAGGGAGCTCTGGTAGCATAGTGCCTAAGGCACTTGAGTGCTAACCAGAAGGCTGGCGGTTCAAACCCACCAGCCACTCCTCAAAAGGAAGGTTGGGCAATCTACTTCTGTAGTGATACTGCCTCAG